ATTTATTTTGTGCAGTTCTGAAGGTCAAGAACTCCAAGATCCAGGCACTGCCAGATTCAGTGTCTGGTGAAGGCATGCTCTCTTGTTCATAGATGGTGCCTCCGGGCCGTGTCCTCACATGGTAGAAAAGGGAAGGTAGCTCTCTGGGGCCCCTTTTATAAGGACATCAACTTCATTCATTAGGGCTCTGCTCTCATGACCTAAGCATCTCCCAAAAGTCCTCACTTCCTAATACCATGAGGATTAGGATTTCAACACATGAACTTTGGGAGAACACAAACATTGAGATCATAGCACACATCCTGTTAGATTGTGAGCAATTTAAAGGCAAAAGGAGACTCATCTTAGCTACCTTTTTTTTTTTTCATTATTATACTTTAAGTTCTGGGTATTTGTGCAGATCCTGCAGGTTTGTTACATAGGTATACATGTGCCATGGTGGTGGTTTGCTGTATCCATTGCCCCATCATCTACATTAGGTATTTCTTCTAATGCTATCCCTCCCCAATCCCCTCAGCCCCTGCTTTTCTTCCTTTAGCCCCCCAACCCCCAGGACCCGGTGTGTGATGTTCCCCTCCTTTTGTCCGTGTGTGCTCATTGTTCACCTTCTACATGCGCTGGCAGAATCAAACATACATCATCTTTCAGGAAATTCTTGAGGACATGAGCATCTGTACCTTCATATGTGATAGAGTTTGGATATTTGTTCCTTTTAAATCTCATGTTAAAATTTGATTCTCAGTATTGGAAGTGGGGCCTAGTGGGAGGTATTTGGGGGCAGGTCCCTCATGAAGGGCTTTGTGCCCTCTCGCAGTAATGAATGAGTTCTTCCTCTATTAGTTCCCTTAAGATCTGATTGTTAAAAGAGGCTGGCGCTGCCTCTTCTCTTTCTTTCTTTGTCTTGCCATGTGATGCCTTCTGTCAAAAATATGACTTCTTCCATGAGTGGAAGCAGCCTGAAGCCCTCACTAGAGGCAGATGCTGGTGCCCTGCCTTTTGTACAGCACCTGCAGAACCATAGACCAAATAAACCTCTTTTCTTATAAATTACCCAGGTTCATGTGTTTCTTTATAGCATTGCAAAATGAACTAAAACAGTATGTATATGGAAACCACAATCCTTCCTTCAGAGGAATGAGATGTAACAGAGAGTTGTGGTTAAGAGCTCAGACTCTGGTTCTAGATCGTGATTCTACTACTTACTCACTATACAACCTTTGACAAATTCCTTAATCTTGTCTTAGTTTTCTTACCTGAATAATAAAAGTATTTGTAGAACTCATTACTTTTGGTCAACACAAGTATTTTTTGAGTAGATATATGTGCACAGAACAACACACTGATCACAGACCACACTACAACAGTGTTTGCTGTTGTTACAGAAGTATTTGAAAGCTGTTAGATCACTGCCTCCACATTCAGTTGATGAGATTTAGTTGCATGCACAGCCCTTGAATTTGTTGAATCGTTTGGCTCTTATCTTTTCTCATGAGTGTGAATATGTTCCCATCCACTTTTTCCCACCCATATTCAAGCTCCCACCTTTACAGAATGACCTGTCAGAACCCAGCACATATACCTACATTCTCTTATGTTGCATTAGATTTTTTTTCTCATGAATACATTTTTTCCCTCATTCCCTCCCTTTTTCTCTGCTCTGTTTTTTCTTCTGTCCTCCTTTTAGTATCCCATGCCCTCCTTTTTATTCCAGCTCAGCCTGTTTCTATCTTTCGTTAGTTCTCTAATGTCCCCTTTTCCTCCCTCTTTCTCATTAGTATTCATACGTAGCATACATCTGCATTTGTGTATGCACTTGTCTTTTGGCATATGGAAAAACGTGTGTTTATAAGAGTGCATACAGATAAGAAGACAGTGTCTATTTAAGCAGATGGGAATATGAGTGCTTGTGCTGCACGTGTATGGGCATCCCTGTCTGTGTTTCTGGGTGAAGGTCTCTGTATAAGCACTACTATTAAATCCACTCAAATGTATGCTATTGATCAATTATATTAATTGAATTGAAAAGTCAAGTGACTTTCTTTTTTGAATAACTACTGATTTGCCTGGAATTTTAAAAAAATGCCACATGTTTAAATGAAGCCCAAATCTCTGTAACATCTAAAGAGCTAAATTCATTTGTCAATGTGGAGGCTTCCAGCTGTCCCTCCTATCCATGCCCTAGGGTGAAATATGATTAAAAGTTGCTTTTCCTTTTTCTATGACTTCTAGGTATCCAGTATGTACTCAGTTGGAAAACAGAAATATGAAAATTGTCTGTATTATGAATTAAGAGTTAACAAGTGATCCTCAAAATAGGATAACAATTAAAATAACAAATCGTCCCAAAATATTTTGGTGGGGAGGGAGACATTTTTAAAGTGGCTAATGATGGACATTAGTGCTCTACAGCAAATAATGCTAGATTCCAGCACAGATGTATGAACAGATTAAATTTCCTCACTTTCCTTGAAATTAGAGTTGCTATTGAAAAACCCTCTGACCAATGATAGGAGAGCTAAACAGACGTAGGCCATTTCAAGATGGAAACTGAATAAATGAGTGTCCAATTCACCAGGTTTTCTCCTTCCCGATTATCTGTTTATGGCCAGTGATGCTCCTAATAGTGGTGGTTGCTCAGTGTGTCCTTGAATGAGGATTACAAAGATCAGAACACTTAAATAACTGGCACTGAACATATATCATGGACAAGAAATACATATTTGTTGCTTTAAGCCTCTAAAATTTGGAGTAGTATCTAACTACAGAATAACTTAACCTATCCTTACTGATGAAATATGAAAAGAAAAGCGAGTTTTTTTTCTTGTCTTGTTTTAATACCAAACATTGATTGATGAAGTGTCATATAAAATCTTTTCTGGCGAAGAAGATTCTGTAAAAGATAAAAAATCACAGCCCAAAAATATCTGCTTGCCTAAGCCTAAACCAATTGATTTCCTTGGTTTTTGGTTGTATATATGCTTTTTTCCCATTTCTTAACTGTTCTTCTCGTTCTTTCTCCACCTAAACACCCAGAGAGGTTGGGAAAACATCTGAGATGATTTCTGACAAACATTTCTTCCAAAATTCTGTTTCATTCTTCCTTACAGTGGCACAGACATTGGGTAGGTGGATGATATTCATTGAGTTCTAACAGGAACTCTGATTATCAAATCATCTGACAGGTATAAGAAATGGGATAGGAAATGATTTTAAAAGAAGGGATAAGGAAAAGAGGACTGATGTGACAGCAACTGCTGGATGTTAAAGTGAAAGAGAGATGATTAAGAAAAAAAAAAAAAAAACAGGTTCTGAGTAGAAACGCATGTTAGGAATGTATCTCTGTGTTTCACTACATAAAGAAAGACAAAAGAAATTGGCTCTGACCTAAAAATACAATGAGAACTTTGAGGCCATTTTCAGAGATTTTTGACAAGGTATAAAAGGCCAGTTAGTTACAGATTTTAACAGGAATTATTTTGTTGTCACTGCACAAATTCACTGGAGCCAAAATTTATGGGTTTAAGCTGCTTTTAGCTAGTCAATCAAAATCAATCCATTGAGATAATTTAACATCAAATTGTGAGAAGAAAAAGGTACTTGTCTTTAATAAGCCCTTGAGGGAGCAGAAACTATGATTTCTTTCTCTTTATATTCCTCAGAGTGCTTCCCATACAATAAGTGCTCAATAAACATTAATAGAGAGTACAATAGATAAGTGAATAAATATGAGTAAATTAATAAATGAATGAAAGACTGTGTCAAAAAGTTCTCAAAGGTTGTTTAGAGTAGCTCACCTATTCTCACTTTCTCCGTTTGGACCCTCTCTAGCCTGGCCCCAGTGCAGGAGACTGTGTGATCTTGCCTCAATCAGTTGATCATGTCACTGAATAACTTAAAATTCCTCAGACACTTTCTATTTCTCCTAAAGTCAAGACTAGATTCCTTATATGGCTGGGTCTTGAATGCCGTGGCTCCTGTCTGGTCTTGAACCACTGTTTTCCTGGCTCCAGGAGCACCAGCTTCCTTCAGCACCTGAAATATGCCAGGCTCCCTGATGGCATTTCTTTTCCTGCCATAGAGCATCATAGCACAGGTTTCCTCTGACAGAAGCCTCCTACCTCCTTTACCTGATTTGCACCTATTCATTCCTCTTAGAAAAATTAGGAAGCACTTCCTCAAGCCTTTCCTGACACAGTAACCCCACCTCCAGTTTCTGTTATGTTCCCTTGTTAAATGTGCTTTTTTTAGGTATCTTTTTCTCGGATTTTTAATCATTGCGGGTGATTATTTTATTAACATCAGTTAACCAAAGGTGCAATATGTTCTATGACTTCAGGTGTCCTGCTTATTTTTACTTAACATTGTATATCCTTGGATTAGGACATTATGGCCTGATTCATTGTAAGCATGCAATAAATCATTATTGAAAAAAATGAAAAACAAATAAATGTGTAACAAACTCAGAATGTAATGTATAATGTCACTTTCAAAGCTAACATCTCCTATTCCTAAAATTAAATCTATAGTCTAATTATTTGGATTATTGCCATTGTCATAAAGAGTCTATGGAGAGCTAGGAGCTACAGAAAATGTCACTGCCTCTCTACACTTATGAAAAATGAGAAGAGGACACATTTTGTGTTGGTAAAAAAGTGGGAGAGAAATTCAATCAAGGTAGGCCAGCAAAAGGAAATGATGTATTTGGTTCACAATAAGGAAGATCTGCTCATCCAGTGTAGTTGGTAATGATAGAGGCCAATGGGCTATTAGCTTCAAAGGATAAAACTGCACGTAGGATTTTGCAGGTGTTTGGGAACTGACATCCATCAAATCTTGCCTTAATATCTCTGCCTAAAATAGAATGATGTATTATTATTTAGCTAGAATGAAGGACTACAGTCTGATGGATAAAGAAGAGTACTGACATTAGAAAATCATAGCCTGAAATATTTTAAGGGACTTTGTTATCAAAATCAGTCCTACCATCTATTTCTACCTAGGGCTACATCGAGCCATGAAGCTGACCAACTTCAAGAAACCACTGAATTTACAAGTCATCTAGGAGCTCAGTGAGGAACCCTCTCAAACACTGCCAACACCATAAGCTGGTTTGTTTATGATATTTTCTGGGTGCAATTAACTGTAGACATTTCAGTATAAGTAGTAGACATATGGGTATAGACAATTTAAATTTAACACCTTACGATGGGGTTAATTAACCTAAGAAACTTTTCAGTGTAAATCAACCTGTATTCGGCTCATTAATTAGTGTAAGACCTATGATTAATAACCTTTTGGTGGTAATAGTAATGGGATTTGAAGTTAAGAAGACTTTAAGAGCACCAAAACTGCTTTCCTGAATAAGGACTACAAAAAGCAATCTCGGGAATGCCCAGAGTACAGGAAGCCAACTCTAGAGCTTCTGGCCTGGAGACATCATGCCACTGGATCTAATTGTAAGGCCAGTAGATCTTGCCATTAGAACCTCTTGTGTCCCACTCAAAGTGAATATTTCATGGAAGATTCTGGTCTGTGGAACTAAGGGCAAAGGAATGAAACTTTTCCCAAGCTAAGAAGCTCGATGACTATACCTGCTTGTTAATAAATGTATTCTGCTTGGAAGATTTTCTCCTGAGATCTTCTTTCATTGTGAGTTAACATCTAGTGGAGAAATTGTAGGCTAGAGACTACCTCTAATCAGTGGTGGTTACTCATGATTACCAGAAGAACTTGACATTCACTAAAGGATCAAGTTGGTTTTTCATAGTTGGGTGATGTAGAACTGTTCACAGGATCTGTAGAGTTTGAAAATGAGAGAACAAGGAGTGAGCAGCTGGTGTTTAAGAAAGCGTTGCCATGGCGTTAGAGTTGTCATAGGGCTAAAGGTAGCAATAGTGACACAAGCTGGCTGAAGGCAGTACAGAAGGGAAAGGTGCACTCACACCAGAAGTGAGGTTTTTCAACTTAGACAAGGCCTCCCTTGGAAAATAAAACTTATGCCACAGGTAGAAAGGGCATGGGGAAGAAAAGGGGTTTTATTTCTAAAACAATTGTAGGTAATATGGGAAGAAACTCTTGAGCCTGGTTGTTGGTAGGCCCAGAGCTTGGCTCTGACCCAAGTCAGAACCAGAGATATTTTAAGTTTTAGCATCTTTCCCCAAAGAAAACTCACCATGGTGAAACCACCCCCATAGAGTTTACAAGAATTACATGCTGGATTCTGGGCAGAAAAAACCAGTTATAATTAAGCATTAATCAGGCTGCACTTTGGTTGTTAATTCAGGCGGGGCTGACTTCACATGGCTGTGCTAAACCCAAGGTCTAATCCTCATGAGCTTTATGGAGGAGTGCGTTTCCAGCAAGACTTCATGTGATCTGTTCTACCGAGGCTTTACCTAGTTGCCAGGATGCTGGCTTTCCAGGCCTTCAATAACACCCAGTTTCCAGGATGAGTATGATGAAGGAGCACATCTGTAGGAAACAGCAATCTGCTAGAAGCCAACTTATGAACAGCAGATAGAATCAGGCCTAAGAGTTGCACATACCTGACAGTGTCTCACTGCTTCTTATGTACGTTTTTGAGGTCTTTTAATCTAAGGTTGGAGCATGGGAATGGCATCCCATATAGTATTTCAAAAGGACGAAATTTGAGCCTACTTTTAAGAGCCACTCTTACTCTGAGCAAGGAAATAGGCAAAGCCTTATCCCAGGTCAGGTTGGTTTCCTGACAAATCTTAACTGAAGCCTTTTTTCAGGACTTGATTCATTTTTTCACTCTTCCTGGTGGCTCCTCCAGGCTGTGTGGAATTTCCATGTTATGCTAAGGACTTGAGTGACATCCTGAGTGACTTTGACCACAAAGCTGGCACCATTGTCGCTCTGATTCAAAATGGGCAAGCCAAACTGAGGGATGATATTTTTTAAAGCAGAGCCTTAACAACTTCAGATGTATTCTCTGTTCTGCAATGGAATACTTCAATCTATCCTGAAAAAGTATCTATAAACATGAGCATATATTTAAAGTTTCCTGTCACCCTCAGCATTGTGGTGATGTCAATCTGCCAATCCCAAGATGGCCTTTCACTCCGTGCTTGGATGCCTTGTATCATGGGTGGAGGGCTAGTTTTGGGGTTGTTTCAGGCCTAGGGGAGACATGTCTGTATGACCATTTGAAAAATATTACTCATACATGGGTCAACAATATATCTCTAATCCAATGGAAAAGGTTTTCCCACCTATAAATCAAGTGGTGCCCTGAGTATGTCCAGCAATGCCACCCATGAGGCATTCAAACACTAAAACTATCTCCTCTTCGTTATGTATCCATCCAGCCTGTGTTTTTCAATAGGGTCAAAACTCCAATCGAGTGCTCTTTTAAGTCCTCCTCTGAGTATGTAGGCAGTTCAAGGTCAAGGATTATTCCAGGTTTTAATGGCATTAGTAAAGTTCGGGGGACCTTTTCTCTTGCTGCTGTCTTTTCATCCTTGTCTAACTGATTATTGTCTTTTTCTAACAAACTGTCTGTCTATTGATGCCCAGGGCAATGAACCACAGCCACTTATTTGGGGACCATGATTGCCTCTAGCAGAGATAAAATCTCTTTAGAATGCTTAATTTCTTTGTTACCAGAAGTTAAAAGCCCTCTTTTGTTTTTTTTTTTTTTCAAATCACCAGGTGAGTATGGATAACAGAGAAGGCATGCCTGGAATCTGTGTAGCTAGTCATGTGTGGTCTTTACCTAGTTGCAGGATGTGGGTGAGGTTAATGAGTTTTGCTTTCTGTTATGTTCTGGGGGAAGTGCCTCAGCTTCCAAAACTTACTGGTGTATCAACACAGCATACCTGGCCTTTTTGTTGTTATTGCTGCTGGTTCATAAAGCTACATCCATCTGTGAGCATCTCTAGATCTGGATCTTCCAATAGTATGTCAATCAAATCTGGCCAGCTAGAATAAACTTGTTAGATACTTTGTAAGCAGTCATACATAGGTTTAGATGCTATCTGAGGGAGCAAGGTGGTGGAATTTAAAGTAATAGCAGCTTTCAACATCACATTTAGGTTACTCGGGAGGATAGCTTAATATTGACCTAGGCTTCTAGAGGTCAACCAATAGCTTCCTTTTTGTCCCAGTAATGGACATACATAGTGGGGTGCATGCACTCTAGTTGGTTGGGCCAGAATAAACTTTTCTGCTTCCTAAAGAAAATCACAGCTGGCAGCAATAGCCCTAATGCAAGATGGTCATCCCCTTGTGGCAGTGCCCAGTTGTTTGGTGAAGTAGGCATCTGTTCTCTTGATGTTCCCTAAATACTGGGTTATCATTCCTAATTCCGTTCCTCATCTTTCATGTAGAAATAGGTCAAATGGCTTTTTTATACTGGAGAGTCTTAATACTGGAGCTGTTATCAGCTTCTCTTTAATGGTCAAAAAAAGCTTTTTAGCAATCCCCAGTTCATTTTAACAGTTTGCTATATTCCCTTTTAATATTTTTTTTTATGTCTTTAAAATTTTGTGGGTACATAGTAGGAACATATTTTATGGGTACGTGAGATATTTTGGTACAGGCATTCAGTGCGAAGTAACCACAACATGGAGTTTGGGTTATCATTATATCCCCCCTTTAAAACACCATGCAACAACTTTGCCATAGGTCTGAAGTTGTGGATCCAAATGTGGCAGAACACAGCCAGGCCTAAAAAATTCCTTAGCTGCTGCCACATCCTAGTCCTGGCAGCTCTAGAAAGAACTTTCTTCCAATCAGGGACGTTTCTCTGTCCCTGCAAGAGTTTAGCCCCAAGGTGTTTAACTGAGGATTGTTTGTCCAGAATATTTAATGTTAATATGGTGCTCTGGTCAGAAGCCTCCTTGTTTGTGCCAGCACCTAATAGGTCATTAGCATATTAGAGCAGAGTACCATATTTTAGCTGAAGGTCCTGAAGGTGCTTAGCAAGAATTTCCCCAAAGATGATTAGAGAGTTTTTAAAGGTCTGGAGAGCTGTCCAACAGTACTGCCGTTTTTCCTTAGTATCTGGGCCCTCTCATTCAAAAGCAGACAATTCTGTGACTGAACTAAAAGGAATGAAAAAGAAAGCATCTTTCAGAACTGAGACTGTAAACCAGCAAAGTTTACCACTAAAGTTATGAGTAGTGTATAAGGATTGGAAACCACTGGGTGAATTCCCTTTGCAGTTAGGTTAATGGTCTCAAGTCCTGAATAACCCTATATTCCTTAGTCCCAGGCCTCTGGACCAGCAAGATAGGTGTGTTATATGAGGACCAGAAAGGTCTAATGAGCCTAAATTGGAAGAAAATGGGTAATAAAGATTCAATACCTTATTGTGCTTTTTTCCTCAGGGATATTGTTTTATATTTGGCAGTGCCATTTCTACACATACATTAACCTGTACTGGTGTTATGGATTTAGCCCTCCCTGATGTCCTGTTTGCTCAGGAATGGTGGCTCACCCTTTGTAGCAATTCTTCTGGGTTGGAAGCAGGCTTAGGAGCTTAATGTAACAATTCAGCTTGAAGAAACTTTGTTGGCAATCTAGGGGTTGAAGTGTTCTTTATAGGGTCCTCCCTGGGACTTCAGTCACTTTTGCAGGCCCTGAAGACAGCTTGGACAGGTAGGTATTTAATACCCAGTAGGTAACTCCAGTATCTAATAGAAATTCCAAAAGTCTATATCCCACTGTCATAATAACCTGGGGCTCTATGTGGGAAAGCTGAAGGGTTGGTTGGATCAGAAGGAGCTCCCAGGGTCCTTTAATTCCTGTCCCTCATCAACAAAAAAGTTGTCAGCCTCAAGTTCCTTGCCTATGGGGAGCAGATAATGCATTTGGTGAAAGGGAGGTTGATTTTCCTCAATATTTGCCGCTCTGTGGTTTGGACAATCTTTTCTCCAATGGCCCTCCTGTCTGCAATAAGCACATTGGTCAGGATCTGCAGTGGAGTGCCCCTTCTTATTGGAAGCATGGGGAAAATGGTGTCTTATCTTAAGTTGGGTGCCCAAGCAGGGTCCTTGCTACGGTAAAGAGTTTCATAGGTTACAGCAGCTGCCAGCAAGGTGGCTTGTTGTATTTTTCATTGCTTTTTCTGCTTCTGAACCTG